CCTCTCCCTGCTGCGGCACGGGATCTTTGCTCGTCCGCTCCCGGTGAACAGGAGAAAGAAACAGAGGGAACAATCCTTTTCGTAAGTCTGTGGGGAGCAGAACCTTTRAAGCCGGGGTTTGTGGATGCAGTGTGGGCTGGTGCTGCTGCTGAGGGCTGCCCAGCAGCGGGGCAGGCGCTGGCGATCCGCGGGTGGCTCGCTCCGAGCACGGCCGTGAATTCCCGCTGCACGGAGCAGACCTCACAGCTGAGGAGGGGTTTGACGTCCCTCTGAGCCTGTTCTGGGTTTGAGCTGGGTCTCAATCCCTTTGCACAGGGCAGGGAGAGTTTCCAGCCCGCATGGAGCCCAAAGGCGTGGGAGATGTGAGAGCGGTACAGCTTCCCCCACCAGGATGAAACGTGGGAGCCACACACACCCTACCAGGATGAAACGTGGGATCCTTATCCTGCATTTCCACCCGGCACCTGGCTTTCCCTCCTGCCCTGGGGAGACCCCGAGACCCCGCAGAGCTCGGCCGGGGCTGGCAGGGCAGGAGCGGGCAGGGGAGGCAGGGGAAGGATGCGGTGTCCGGGCAGTCGCAGATACAACGCTGCCGCGGCGCCTTCGGGCACGGAGCGCTGCCAATCCCGGAGGGAAGAAGCGCTGCCTCCGCGGCAGCACGGCCCTGCCGGGGTCAGCAGCTCATTAAACTCCTCTGTGCCCGGAGGAGCGGCGGCTGGAGGGGGTCAAGCTCTCCGGATGCTCACGTGGAGCAGCTGAAGGGCTCAAGCCCGCCCGGGGTGGCGAGCCCGGCATTGCCAACTCGCCCTTAGCCCTGCCTTGCTCCCCACGGAGCGGGGACAGCGTGGGGATTGAGCTGGAGCTGCTCTGCTCCGGCTCGGGGCTGCTGTRCCCTCTTTGCACCTGAGGCCCGTTAAAATTTACCCCAGCTGCTTTCCCCTGTGCTTTTGGGGGCTGATGTGAGGTTTCAGCCCTGCCCTGGTGTGCCGGGGGTGGTTGGTACCTGATTTGAGCCTGGCTGTGCCCAGAGAGCACCAGCCTTTGCAGGGAAGGGCTGGATTGGGGCAGGGGGCTTAGGGAGAGGGATGACAGCAGGAGGAGCAGGGAGAGGGAGGGGAGCAGGAAGAGCCGGGACATGTCAGCGCTTCCATCAAACACTCTGGTTTGCCAGTGCCAGTGCAGTCACCCAGAAGCTGTGGCTGCCCCTGGATCCCTGAAGTGTCCCAGGCCAGGTTGGACGGGGCTTGGAGCACCCTGGGATGCTGGAGGGTGTCCCTACCCACGGCAGGGGGTGGCACTTTAAATCCCTTCCACGACCGCGCGATTTCCTCTCCCTTTTCTTTTCCAGCCAAGCGGAGGCCGAGGCCACATCCARGTGTTCGAGAAGGGGGATTTTGGCGGGCAGATGTTCGAAGCCACCGAAGACTGCCCCTCCATCATGGAGGAGTGGCACATGCGTGAGGTGCACGCCTGCAGGGTGCTGGAGGGCGTCTGGGTGTTCTACGAGCACCCCAACTACCGGGGCCGGCAGTACGTGCTGCCCAAGGGGGAGTACCGCAAGCCCGTGGAGTGGGGAGCGGCCAGCCCCGCCGTCCAGTCCTTCCGCAGCATCTCCGAGTGACCCGGCCCCGTGCCCGGGCTGACACACCCYCCCAATAAAGCAACTGAGTCGCTCAGCTCCGCCTCGTCCTGCTCATTCCTGGGGATTGCGCGCGGTTTGTCCTGCCTCGGGGGGCTGGGGTGGAGCGGAGCCTTCTCGGAGAAGAACACCGCCCTTGCCAGCCCAGAACACCGCYCTTGCCAGCCCGGAACASCCCCCTKGSCAGCCCAGAACSCCCCCCCCCCSCCTGCCAGCCCGGAACACCCCCCTTGCCAGCCCAGAACACCCCCTTTGCCAGCCCAGAACACCCCCCTTGCCAGCCCGGAACACCCCCCTTGCCAGCCCAGAACAGAGCCCTTGCCAGCCCAGAACACCCCCCTTGCCAGCCCGGAACACCCCCCTTGCCAGCCCAGAACAGAGCCCTTGCCAGCCCAGAACACCCCCCTTGCCAGCCCAGAACACCGCCCTTGCCAGCCCAGAACACCACCCTTGCCAGCCCAGAACAGAGCCCTTGCCAGCCCAGAACATCCCCTTGCCAGCCCAGAACACCACCCTTGCCAGCCCAGAACACCCCCTTTGCCAGCCCAGAACACCCCATTGCCAGCCCAGAACACCCCCCCTGCCAGCCCGGAACACGCCCCTTGCCAGCCCAGAACACCCCCCTTGGCTGGCTCTGTCACGTCCCTGCGGATTTTCTGCTTCATGGGGACTGTCAGCGGTGCCATGTGTCCCCCTGGACACCCTGAACAGGCAGCAGATGTCCTGGTGCTGCGSGAGTTTGTTCTTCTTGTGACAGGACAGGGAAACAGCGGAGATGGGAGGCAGCGATCCCGGAGGAGCAGGAGGGGGACAGCCACGGGCAATGCTGGGGACCCTGGCAGCGTGTCAGGCACAGAATGGCCCCTGTGGCTGTGAGCCGAGGGATCCATCTGGGGTTTGGCACCGCCTGGAGCCGGGCAGCTGGAAGGGAAGAGCAGGATGGATGTGGGATAGAAGCAGTGAGTGCCTCCAGGAGCTGCCCCGGGGTGGGAGGAGGCTGCTGAGCCATCCTGAGGGGCTGGAAGATCTCCCTGGACACCAGAGATGTGCAGGCAGCAGAGGGGACTCCCAGTTAGCCCACTTAGCMCCCAAGAACATCCCGTTTTGCCCAGTGCTGGTCCCAGACACAGCCTCCCGCGCAGGAACCACTGATGGCCGGTCACTGTCCCCCCGGACAGCCCGGGGACTGCAGCGTTTGTGCCCCGGAGCCGAGGGGCTTTGGGATAAGGACGCTGGGGTGGCAGCAGAGCCCTCCCAGGCATGCTCCGCTGTCCCTTCCCGCTGCTGAGTGAGGTCAATACGGAGCGGGGAGAGGGGAAGGGATGCTCGCCAAGCCACGGGGCTGCTCTACTGCCGGTGGGGAAGGGGAAGGGGCTGCACAGAGGGGCGGCTCCAGCGCCCCGGACTCACCCAAGGACCTTCCTTCTCTTCCTCTTCCTCCTCTTCCTCTTCCTCCTGCTTTCCCTCTCCCTGCTCCTCCTGCTGTCACCCCTCTCCTGAGCCCCTTGCCCCGTTCCAGCCCTTCCCTGCTGCATCTTCACCCACTTCCATCCCTCCTGCCCTCCTCTCCATCACGGTGCAGATGATCCAGCACCACGGTTGGGTTTCTCTGTATTTTCCCCCACGATGTTTCTCCATCCTCCAGCTCCCCTTTCCCCCCTAGCTCCTGGCAAAGCTCTCCAAGGACAGCCTGGCTCCTGTTTTTTGTTTGTTTGTTTTTTGTTTTTTTTTACAGTGAGCCTGTTGCTGTCCCTGTTTCAGATGGAAAATCCCCTGTAGGTCGGTGTGCTCTGYCCAGTGCATTTCCAGCCATCTCCCACCCTGATTTTGGGGAATGTCCACCTGTCCCACCTGCCCTGCACTGGGTGGGTTTGGGGTGCTCCAGCTCTGTGGCTGCTGGTGTTCATCCACCCCAGGGCACTGCAGGAGCCAGACCTGGATCTGGTTCACCCTCAAGGTGACGTTCTCCCACGTCCTTCCCTTTCACCGCTTATCTCCCCACCTTAAAACCCAGTCACCCCAACTCTTCCCCCTTCTCCTCCTCCTCCAGGCTCTTGCCCTTGGGTGAACGCTGCGTCCTCAACATTGGCGACCGACAAGAATAACAACCAACCGCTCCTTGGGTGTTTTTTCCATCACCAGTTTTTATTTTATTGTCGTTCCAGATGACTTTTTGTGTCGGGGGCTCCCTCACCGGGGCGGTGCACAGAGCGGGGCGCCCGCGGAGATGAGCGGGGAGCGCGGCCGTGCTGATGCTGGTTTTTCCTTGACAGCTCATTTCCATTTCCCGGTATCAGGGGGTCTGCTCYGGTAATTGGCATGCAGATTGTGTCYGGTGGGCCTGTTAGACACGAGCAGAGACTCTGCTGCTTGGAATAAGCCAACCCCAGGCTGATGGATGGGGTGTAAGGAGGTCACGGGGAGAGAGAATATCCAGGTGCCCGTGTGCACACCCACGAAATTTCCCATTCCGCGTCCTCCCCCCGTCCCTGCTTGCTTTATCCAGCAAACTCTAATCTATCATATTTCATTGAGACAAATCCTGCTCCGTTTCTCTCTCCTTCCCTTTTTCCCTCTGAGGGAAATGTGATGGAACCCGCTCCTGGATTTAATGAGGAGATGGYGCGGCGTGGCAGGAATTAAAGCGGTGCCGCGCTTCGTTAGCAGCTGGGGATCGCACGGAGCAGGCCCGGGTGTTAATTACACTTCGGGAATTAATTGGTATGAGGCATTCCTCTCCTCCATCACCTATAATCCAGGTGATTACCCAGATGTGTGTGTGTGAGGACTTCTGGAAGCAGAGACCTCCAGGCAGGTCTGTCTGTCCCCCCTCCACAGCCCATTGTGACCAAGGGAAATCTTGGAGTCACCTTCATTTCCATCCCCTTGCTGCCAAAGGACCTGCTGTGATTTTTCTCCCTTTTCCTTCCTGTGACACTCTCCTCCAAATTTTTTATCCAGCTGCTGGGGAAAGCAGGTCTGGATGGGATGGAGCAGTGGTGGGAGGTGGTGCTGTGCTGAAGGAGGAAAGGACATCCCCCTCGGAGCTGGGATCCCAGCACATCCTGCTCCTTTTTCCTGCTCCTTGAGCCATCCTTGCTGGTCCATCCCTTCCCTCCAGCTCTGGGGACACAAGGGGGAGCCTCAATCTRCCCTTGCAGCACCTCTGCTCTGAAATTGCCCCAGCTGTCCAAGGAAAATGGTCTCCAGTTCCTTCCCTTTTCCACCTTGGTTTCAGCCTGGTGAAATGCAGAAGCTGCTAAAAAGCTGAGGAGGGGAGGGGTTATTTTGCCAGAGGACAGAAATTATATGGTTGGAAATGAAGAATATTCCTCTGAATGCAGCCAATTTGTTTCTTTCCTCAGCTGGCTGGTGGTGGCCCAGCATGTGGCACGGATGTCACTGCGAAGGAGCAGCAAATCTTTGGGATCCAGCCTGGAATTTGCTGCACAGCCCCAGTGGGACACTCAAACTCAGCTCTTTGCCCCCCAAATTGCTCCCAGGCCCTAATGGCAGGTCACAGCCACCACACTGGTGTGACCCAGCCCGGGTTGTGTTTTCCCTCCTTTTCCCGAGGTCCTCAGGGTTTTTTGGGTCTTCCATTGACATTGCTAATGCTCCTTGGTCTCAAAGCATCAGTGCCTCTGCCAGCAAAGGTCACTCCTGAAGGAGAGACACTGTCCCTTCTCTCCCAGCCCTGGGAGGGCTCAAAAGGGGTGTGGATGAGGCACTCAGGGATGGACATGTAAACCAGAGMAAATCAAGGCTGCTTTGGTAGGAGTTGATGCGAAACAGTATTTTTGAAATTCCAGGATTAATGGTTTTGGGGTTGAATGGAGAAGGAAAAGGAGACGTGTAATCCTTTTGTTTAAAATTTCATGATTTTAGGTCTTGTTTTTGGGTTTAGGGATGGACTTGGAAGTGCTGTTGCAACCGTTGGTGATCTTAGAGGATTTTTCCAACCTCTGTAATTTCCAACAATTCTATAATTCTGTGAATTCACAATTCCATTATTCTATGATTGTGTGATTTAACAATTCATGTTTCTATGGTTACCTCATTGTTTTGTGATTTCAGCATTCCATGATTCTATGATTCCGATTTCACAATTCTAGGATTCTGTGATTCTATGATTTCCTAATTCCATGAKTGTATGGTTCTGTTTCCATGACTCCATGATTCTTTGATCTCACAATTCTATGATTCTATGATTCTGTGATTTCACAGTTCCATGATTCTATGATTTTGTGTTTCTATGACTCCATGATTCTGTGATTTCCCAATTCCATGATTCTTGATTTAACAGTTCTGTGATTCTGTGATTTAACAATTCTGTGATTCTGTGATTTCACTATTTCATGATTCTATGATTCTGTGTTTCTATGACTCCACATTTCTGTGCTCTCACAATTCCACGATTCTATGATTCAATGATTCTGTTTCTATGACTCCATGGTTCATTGTGATTTCACAATTTCATGATTTGGTCTGTGATTTCACAATTCCATGATTCTACAATTCTGATTTCACAATTCCATGATTCTATGATTCTGTCATTTAACAATTCCATGATTCTGTGGAGCCTGTATCTCTCTACAGCTCCATGATTCTGTGACTTCACAATTCCATGTTTCTATGATTCTGTGATTCAGTAACTCCATGATTCTCTGATTTCACAATTCCATGATTCTATGATTCTTGTGTTTCTATGATTCCATGGTTCTGTGATTCCATGATTCTGTGATTCTGTGATTTCACAATTCCATGATTCCATGGTTCCGTGACTTCATGATTCCATGATTCTATGATTCTGTGAGTCTGTGATTTCACAATTCCATGATTCCATGGTTCTGTGACTTCACAATTCCACGTTTCTGTGATTTCACAATTCTATGATTCTATGATCCTGTGATTCCATCACTCCATGATTCTGCCATTCTGATTTCACAATTCCAGTATTCTGTGATTTAACAATTCCTTGTTTCTATGATTCCATGTTTCCCCATGATTCTGTGATTCCATCA